TTCCTTCCACAAAGCGGCCTGAGGAACGCTCAAAGAAAGAAGAAAACGCTCAGTCAGAGGAGCAATCAAAGGAAGACTTCGAATTGAACTCACACCCTATGAAGAAACAAACTGAAGAGACAGTAGAAATGGAGTTAATACCCGATGGTGCAAAGCTAGATGAGGATGTGACATCTGGACAGAAGTGGGATAACAAACTGCCACAAGACGCTCATAAAGATTACAGCGAATCATCTGTCTGCAATAATATAAGCGCAGATGATATTGACAACAATACTTATGAGGCTTTGAAAGAAAAGGTTAAGGAGATGCAGAAGAAAATTGAATACCTTATGAATATGCACACAGCAGAACAACAACAGTCACCCTCCTTCAGACGAGATTATAAGAGTCCAGATTTTTTCACTACCAAAAGAAGCCGAAGTTGCAGAGAGAATCTCTTGGGTGCTAGATCTCCTCATTGGTTTGAGAATTTGGAAGCTGTTAACAAGATTTCCAACACTTCAAGCATTTCCTTTGATTCAGGGAGCACTCTTAGTTCTACCCCCATTGATGCAAATAGCATGAAAGACTCTGATCCGGAAACAGGTAATAGCTTCCATGAATTTGTAGCAGGGCTTGAAGAAATGGCAAGGCAGCACTCAATTGACTCGACACCTGAGCTAGATTATGGGATGTCATTTGCCCCCACAAGATCCGAAAAAATGGAAATCAAGCCAGAAAGCCCTGCAAATAGCATCACAGGAAACACGCATGCATCACCAAATCCTCAAAATAGAAATGAAGAAACCACAGATGCCACCAGTAATCAATCAGAGAGAGAGCAGGCCAATAATTTGGTAAGCAGAAATTTTTTATTTTATTTTTTTCAACTCATTCTTGGGGAGACAAAAACTTGCTTCTTTTCTCAACAGTTTGGATAATCAAAAACTGCAGGTAGAAGAAGCAGTACCTAAGAAAACAGATTCCACAGAGGCTTCCCTGGAGAAACTACAGGTTGCTAATGGACAATATTCAAGCAGTTCTTCAGACTTTGAGAGACAGCAAAAGCAAATAATTGAGCTTTGGGCAGTTTGCAATGTACCATTGGTTCACAGAACCTACTTCTTCTTGCTCTTCAAAGGTGATCCTTCCGACTATGTTTATATGGAAGTTGAACTCAGAAGGTTATCGTTTCTGAAGCAGACGATGTCTAATGACCCGGAAACATCAAGGTTTTTTTCTGGAGCACTTTTTCGATGAGCCTCATAAATATCAATCTTGTACCACTTGGGTATTATCCTAACCAGTTCCTTTGGCATTTTATCAGGATACAAACTGTGAAGGCACTCACACGCGAGAAGGACTGGCTTTCCAAGCAAATACCAAAGAAATTTCCATGGAACCAGAGACTAGAACTTTACCAAAAATGGGGCATTGAGATGAACTCAAAGCAGAGAAGCCTGCAAGTTGCGCACAACCTGTGGACCAACACCCAAGACATGGAACACATAAAAGAGAGTGCTTCTCTTGTGGCTAAGCTGCTTGGATTTGTTGAGCCAAGTCGAATGCCAAAGGAAATGTTTGGCCTCAGCTTGTTACCTAGAACCGAGAACATAAAATCATCTGGCTGGAGATTTACCAAATCATTCTCTGCTATACGCTTAACTGGATTATAACAAGAGCACAATCTTAAAACATAAACCAAAAACAGAAATCAGACAAGTCCTGTTCTATCCTCCATTTCTTTCCCGATCACCAAACTAATCGTAAAGCTGTGAAAGGCTTGCATGTAAGCTAAGTCGAGTTCTAGACATAATTTGTACCTCCTTGTATCGCACTTTAAGAAAGATTTCCAGAACTATAGCATTTCTATTATAATATAGACTAAAGATAGAGGGAGTGCCAAGAACGTGAATATTCTCAAGTTCATATATATAACACTAACTTAGAGAGACAATATACAAAACAAAGAGAATACCACAACCTCATGTAGGCTACATATGAGCATATTATGATGTAAGAACAGAGCCTTCAGTAATTTTCCACCCTGACTTGGACCAGAAAACTTCGTATCTTGTTGTGTATGTTCTGACATCTGTAGCATTGTTTTCTGGATGAACCAAATCAGATAGACAAGCAGACTCCTCCAGAGTTGCTTCCACCAAAGCACGGGTTCCATCCGCTGAGACAGTCACACTGTCAACGGATAGTTTCAACAGTGTATAATCATAGACCAACCCCAGCTTCGCGGTTTCAGCTGCTCTGTCAGTCCAGATCTTCAGCATTCGCCCATCCAAAACCTATAAATTACCAGAATCATGAAAGGCACCAGACATCGTTCCAATCGCTACAATCATGTCCACAGTTTTTGCGTAATTGAATGAATTGTGACTTTATTTAGCCAATGATCTCCGACGGTGAAAGAAACCTAAAACTATTAATTTCTGGAAATAATCGAAGACATGGAAGGAAATACGCACCTCTGGCAACATGTCTATGCAGTGATCCTGCCCAAAAGCCTGAGACTTGATCTTTTGCCACTTGCTAACAAGACTCTCTGCAGTCCGAGCATCCATTCTGGGAAGTGCCTCTGAATCCTCAGCTTTCACAGACCCTATACAAATAAAAATAATCCAAGGACTGAAAAGTTGGGCAAACCACAGTAGGGCAATTCGTAAACAGAAATGTCAAATAAAGTGCACTACAGCTTCAACACCTGCCTACAATTTGATCAAAAAATTCAAGCAGCATATGTACAAGTTGAGAGTGAGATCTACTTAGCAACTGTGTTAACCTCAATAATAAATACTCGGGATAAATATTGGGACATGTTTCAAGTAAAAGAATTAGTTTCTTTCATGATATGGAACTGGAATTTGGAGCAACTCGAGTGGGAAATTGTCAAACATCTAGCGAACTATGTTCTAGGCTCAAAAAGTTGCATATCATACCTATGGTAGTAATGTCAGATGCCATAGAAGAAGCCATATCCTTGCGTTGAAAAGATGAGCTGCTCTTAAAATGCGTATACTTCAGACCGGCCAGTGAAATCATTCCAATAACCACACCAGCAGATAAGATCTTCACACTTGCCTCCTTTACCTTATCAGCAGTTGACTTTTCAACAGTATTTGCATCAATGCTACTCTTTGAGACCTCAGCTCGAATTGCATAATCATTTTTATCATAGTTCTCAGATGGTCTTTCAGCTTCTCCAATAAAGATACCCGCCTCACCATCATCTCCTACCCTGTCACCCACAGAATCTACATTTGACACCATTTCTTGCGCATCCTTGGGTTCAGACGAGATTCCATCTGCATAGCGAGAAGGAAAAACTTTCTGCAGTGCCTGCAGTGCACTAGCCTTCACATGCTCGGCTCCAATCCTTGCCATAGCTGCAGCGGCAGCTAAAGGAGAACCCTGAACAACCTCCACTCTTTCCAAATAGCTCAAGACCATGGGATCATCGTAATAATCCCCAAGTTTGAAATGTTTATCTTTGGTGTCTCTGAATCTAGGAAAGACAACCCCTGCCAACCAGGTTTCCAATAGTTTGCAGAGTCCAGGAAGATCATGATTATCGTCACGATCTGAATTCTCCAAGACAAACTCAACAATAGCAGGATTCCTATACTGTGAATCCTCACTGTCTAAGCCCAACCATGTACGGCATTCATCAACTTTACCTACGAGCAGTGCACAGAGGCCCCTTTCCAGACCAAAGTCTATCTCCCAATTATTTCGTGGATCATACAACAGTGCAGGAATCTCCATAGCCATTACCTTAGCCTGCTGAAGTTGCTGGAATTGCTTATCAGCATCCTGTAAAAGGTGGGGCTTCTTACCTATAAAAGCTTGAGCCACAAGCGCAAGTGCTACTTCGTAAACTTCAAAAGACTCTGCTGGAATATTGCTTGGGGTAGCTACGAAAAGATCAACCTACAACAGAAAGGATATAAAACAGAATGAGAAACTAGAGTTATATCATAATGAAGAAATTAACAAAAAGGATCTGAATTTCATACCTGCTCAGCTGCAGTCATCCGTAAAAACGCCTCATTCATAAATTTTTCACGCGTCAAGCCCCCAACAACAGCTGATGCTCCACCTCCTCCAACAGACCATAAAATGTTGCGTACACCACTTAAACCATCTTGTCTTTTCCCTGCGTATTCATCACCAAGTGGTAAGCCAAGAAGCTCCAAGACATAACGCGGAGTGATCTCTTCCAAAGTCTCATCAATTTGTGCACGCAAATCTGGTGCCAGGTTGCTTGCTCCTTCCTCCTGCACAAGACTCAAGAACAAAGTATCAAATCAAGAGAGCTCTTACAAAGCCCACCCAGTAGCTCGTGCAATTCAGAAAACAATCCCAAAACAAAATCAAATTACCTGCAAAAGCTTCAGAGCTTCCTCAACAAACTCATAACCAGTAATAAAATCCGGTGGATCCAATGCCATGGCATCTCTAGAGATGTCCACAAATGCAAGAGCCATAACTAAAACCACATCTTGCTTGAACGACTTGGGCAACCTCTCCTTAAGCAGGGCTTCTCCAACACGAAGGACAATCTCAGTCTCACCAGCTTCTTGCAATACGCAGAGAGCACCAGGAACCTTCATATCCAACACAGAAGATGATAAAATTTCTTTTCTTTTTAAGAATCGAATGAAGAAGAAAATTCCGAATTTAAACTTACCTTTTCCCAAGGAACATCAGTGATGACTGTAGCTTCCTCGTCATCAAGAAGACCTTCGTTGTACTCTCTTCTAGAGCGAGGATTGGAAAGAGTTTCACAAGCAGCTTGAAGAACCTGTCTCCGGCTGATTAAAGCTTCGTCACTGAAGCCGAATTGAGGCGGTTTCGAAACCTTAGCTTCGAATGCTCTTCTGATTCCATCAGTTAAGAAATGCGTCTGGGCTCCCAACACCTGGTAGAAATCGATGGGAATGGGAAGGTTGCGTTCGGGACGATCGATAGATGGTGGTGGCGGAGAGATGAGAGTAGCGGTGGCAGTGGCGGAGGAGGAGGAATCGGTGGTGAAATTGAAATCAGAGAGAAGACGATCGGCCCATCTGCTGGCGGAACAGACAGTGGTGTGGCTACGACGGAGCTTCGTCGCCGGTGGAATTCGGCATAACTGGAAAGGTAAGAGCCCAATGCCAACGTGACCCAAAGCTTCCATTGGAGTTTCTCTCCTACCTAGTAACTACAAAACTTTGATAATGATTTTTTTTCATTTTTGGTCGTCTAGGGTTTATTATGGCATTTTGGTTTAAATATCTTTCTTTTTTTTCTTCTCAAGAGAAAAATAAAGGAAGAGATTCTAAGTAGTTTTCATTCATTTGAAATCTCTTTTTCAGTGTTAATTGTTCCGTTAAATTTTGTAACAATGGGAATTCAAGATCTTAGTTTGAGAAATTTTGTGTGGCATTATTTTTAGTTTAAAGGTTTTATATATTGGAGGATTACAATTCTTCGAAACATATAAATTGCAACTCTCTCGTCTGTAAAATTCCAGACTACTACTGACTTGCACAAGCAAAGAGAGAGTCAGTGATTACTAAAGCCAAGCAAAAACTTGTTCAATTGTCATTCAGTATTTTCCTCCAAGCAGAAAAGTACTCCATTTCAGCTTAACCATAGCAGGAGGAGTGTGACAAATATTTTACAACAAAACTCACTTTAGCTATATAGATACTCTAATATTGGAGCAGAGCTTCGTTACAATATTTTTTGAAGTTGACAGCCTCATCGGTCAGGAAGTCACTGCACAAGGTACAAAATTTTATGTCAACAAGGAAAACTATTAGTTAATCAGACATCTACGAAAGAATCCAAAGAGACTCACCACAGTCGCTCAGCCATGCGCCCCACTTCCCATCTTGGACTCCATGGGTACTCGGTTAGGAGGTTTGATTTTACGGGCACGCTCAGTTGGTTTAAGTGCTGCATATCACAAACGTATCCATTCTTTATACCTTAAGAAAAAGGAAACCAGAAGCCTTTTGTTTGGCTCGTTTACAAAGAGTTTAGATACCTGACAACTCTGGAGCATTAGAGTTGGTTGCTGCTTCGGAAATTGAGTTGAAAAAAAGAAGTTAACCTACATCAAAAGCCGAAAAACACATTAATCCACTGCTACATGTTTACTGAGAAACCAAAAACTATCTAGAAGCCGAGTTTTGAAACATGATTAAATGCAACTAACTCAAAATCCACTTTGACGCAGCTTGAGTGTAATAATTTGTATAGAGCTATGAAAAGTGATAGAATTACCACAAAAGTAAATGCTCCAGAGGCAGCAAGGAATGTAGCTTTACGGCAAAAGGTCTAGCAAGAAAAACAAAATTAGAAAAGTTAAGCAGCTCGGAAATCTTTCTAAACATATTCCAAGGCATGGCAAGATATGCTTACAGGATCAGCTTCAAGAGGTCTTCCAAGAAAAGCAGCCAATGCCTCGATAAAACTCCTCCTTAAATCAATTGCAGAAACAGCCTCCAGGATCTAGAAACTAAGCTCGATAAGGCCCTCATACCCACAAATTTAAGTACATGTTTTCATGTGTAAGAAGAAGATTAAGTTGAACTGACTTGTCTCTCAAGGGTTTCTTCAAGATGGGGAAGATATTCAGCCAAGCACCTTTGAAATAGAAATATTACGGGGTATTCAATATAGTGATTATTACATGCATGGTTTGCAGGTAGAGTGAATTGTGTGTGCACATTTAACTTACATCCCGTCCATCCATGAAGAAAGTTTAACATCCTCAACAGAGAATAGCGCCTTTAAATCAGAAGATGATACTAATCTCAAACGAGGTGCTGAAGGTGCTGTTTCATATTTCCGTAGAATCGGGTATACTACCTGCACCAACAACCAGTTTATCATATGATGCTCGCAATTAAAAATAGTGAAGAATACAATAAAAGAGAACGACAAGAAAACCTGAAGATGAATCTTCTGCTGATGCTTCCAAGGGCACCCAACCACCATTTTGTTTATGTCCATATCCATCACAAGAGGTACTGCAAACTTGACTTCCTCTGGCTACACTAAAAGTAATGGAAAGTCAAATGCATACAATGTGCATGACTTCACGGAACAATGATCAAGAATTTTGATATCAATATGTACCTTGTCAACTCCTGAAGTCATTTGCATTTCAATTCCCTGAGAATGTAGGAACAAGGAGAGAACATGAACATTGAAAATGATGAGACATTCTAAGCAATATAGTGGTTAGACTTGTTCACGGGGAAAAAGTTTCAAATCAAAAACAAAAATTTCTTTTCAACCCATCATTAGTAACATCATTGATCCAAGCCTAACATTTTACACGCCGCGAGAAATAGAATCTAAGAAGCCTTAGCTACTCTAACAATATAAACAGCAAACGCTTTCTTTTTTTCATCACTATAGAGGTGTAAGTGCAGCTTGAACGACAGGATAAAACTAATTCTGATTTCCAACGTAAACAAAAAAATAACGAGTTGCATGATACCTTGCGAGTCAAAACGGTGCTAATCTCAAACTTCACGCGATCATCATCAATTTGACCCACACGCCTTCGTTGGTAGACCACATATTGATCCCTAAACAGTATATTCACCAGAGAGAAACTTTGATTGAGCCAGCCAAAAACCCTCAAAACGGTTCAACATATGTTTAAAAACAAACAAACACCATGGAATGAGGGAAACAAACCTCAATCCTTGAATAAGAACAAGTAACCGTGTCGAATCCTCGTTGTTCCACTCAGACAAAGCCTTATCCAATGACGATATCTGACCGTCCTCAGGAACAACAGTGCTACACGGCATAAAATCTTCATCATCTGGCCCAAATATGAAATCCGGAGGAGTCACTGCATACTCTGAATTGTAAATAACATCCCCTGCCACAAAAAGGAACAACAAATTAGAGAGAAAACAAGTAGCGCAATTACCCAAAACATGTAAGTGATAAGGAACACACTTACATTTGATGGTGTCGAGACAATAGGGTATAACCAAAGTAAAGCGATCGAGGATTCTGGGATTCAACTTGTTACCAGACCAGACACTTTCGATCTACGAAATACGGAAGAATCAGTCTATTACGCCTATTTACATATAGACGAAACCCTAACTCTCAAATTGAGAAAGATGAACAGTGATTAAAACTTTGAATCTCATGAAATTAGTGAATGTTATTACATACCTTGATGGAATCAGGCGAGTGATTGAGCAAGTAGTGGAGCTGGTCGGCGATTAGAGGAGGAAATCCTTCGAACGCCATGGGAGGATCTCTCTCTGTTTCGAAGATTATCAATGTAGAGGAAAGTTCGCGTTAAAGCACGGAGACAAAAAAAAAAAAAAAATACTGTATATTATTTTTATTTATTTTGAAACGAGAAAAAAATCACACAACAACA